CAAAGGCTTGCTTCCTAACACACCGAGAGCCCACATAGGAGACTAAACTTAATTGTCTGTGGCGGTTACAATATCAGATAACCCCTGCAGAGGTAAACAAGAAAACTTGAGAGATTAATATTTTCTTTGATATAAACTTTGTAAGATGCTCTGTTGTCAAAAAGCCCACAGAGATTACTTGTGCTGTAGTAGGAGGCACTTCATTTTCCAGAATCTATGACCCAGCAGAAATTACTGTCAGCTCCCCAACCAGCCGAGGGGTATCGATTCCCCCGTTACTACAGCAACCCATTAGTTATTAGATCGTGTCTCGTATGCAGTGACTAATCTGCCTCAGCGAGGTCTCGGATTTTGACACTTTTTCATTCTAATCTTTAATTAGTTTATTTCATGTGGCCTGCACATTTTATTTTTATACTAAGTACTTATTGAAAATACAGTCAAAGTGAGCAGAGATCAAAAGAGCAAAACCAGTAGGCTGTCAACTAAACTCGTTATGCAAAATAATAATAAGTAAAGAAAAGTAGCATGCCATATCAAACACGTAAGCCAGCTTCACTCAACATTCCTGAAGTCGCACAGAAATCAACCCAGGACACTCTTCCATCCCCAGACTTCACTTGAAACATAAGTGCCCCTTATGTCACCTCCTTTGTATCACCCCCATCTCAATGATTACACCAAAAGACTAGGAAGCGTTCACCAGCAACTTTATCAACTTCCTTTGATACTTGGCTTCTTGAGGAGGAATAGACTTTGAGAGGTATCATCCCTTTACACCAAAATAGCCAGAGATTGGGTATCTTTTTATGGCTTATCCTGTCTTTGATGTCAAGTGGTAAGTGAAGGGTCTGCACGACAATCCAAACCTGGACAGAGGAGCAGCGTACTTGGCTAAAGACCCACACTCATCCTCACAAACAACTTTACACGTAAAACTGCAGGTTTTGGCCACAAACAGAAGCAACTTTAACTTTATATCACACTCATTAATAAGCCCCTGTGTCACCTGACAAAAAAAACCCCAGTGCTGCAAACAAAAACCCTCACATTAATTTGACAAGTTTTTCATACTCAAAAAAACTCACAAAAAAATTTTTTTTTTGAAAAAATGCAGTACCAAAAGCCAAAAAACAAATTAAAATTATGAATTTAGGTTTAAATGAGGTGCCATAATAACAACTTTTTACATCTCCTTCTCCTATGTTGTAATTAATCAGAAATAAAGTTCCAAGTAGAGTCCATCCCTTCCAGCTTTCCTATTACATGAGAGAAAAAAGGAAAGCATTGCATTCCCATGCAATAAAATCCAGTTATGTCCACTGACTGCACAGGAAAGGCAATCGCTGAGTGTCTACCATGGGAAAGTTTCGTTACATCAACAGTCTGCATCCTGATAAAATCTCTCTTAGTATCTTTCAAGGAAACCACACACCTCTTGCACATTTGTACAAAATCAATGACAACAGATCAATGTGCCAGGTCTGCTGTTCTACTGAGTACCAGCAGAACATCAGGCATAACATGTGCAGTTACTGAAGAGCAGATGATGAGGACTGTCGATGAACTGACTTCAGAAACACTGCCTTAACATGCAGAGAGCAAGCTCTAGCTAATGCCTTTCCAGGTAATGCCTCCCTTTCCTTTCACCTACAGAGGTTTAGGCACACAACACCCACCAGATTCTTGTGCACTTAAATGGATGAACATGTAAAACCAACGTCCCTCCGTAGGTTTTGACTCCGCTCCATCTCTAGATGTCAGTGTCTACAGGTCTCAGGGACATGTCTGAATTTACACAAGCAAGATGCACCTAGTAAAGGCATGAAAAAATTGCCAAAGTATTCAATAAGGAGAAGTTTTGCTTTAGCTTCATTTAATAGCAAGCTATGGATTCATGCTATGGCTCTTCCCCAACTTTGATTCATCAAGTGGAGGAAAAGGATCCCAAAGAAGAAGGGCTTAGGGTAAATATCCAGATATCTGACTGCGTGCATTTTCATTGCTTGGTATGAACCAGGCTGGAGTGCAGCAAAGGTTTCAAATTCAACCTAGGGACTGCTTCACCAGTATCCCCAGCATTTAAATTTCACAACATTGAAGAGATAGGAAGGGAACATTTAGACCACTCACTCACCAGTCCCAGGTCACTCTGTTTAGCACAATCTCCAATGCTTCACTCAGTTTCAAAAGTCTCAAATAGGTATGAAATGTGAACAGACTGAAATAGAGCAGAATTTGGAATTGTCTTAATCTACGTGATACAGCATGGGAGTGTACGTACGTGTATGCCAGCAGTTTTCCAAAACACACCCACTTTGATCCATTAGAAAATTGACCTAGTATGCTCAAGGGAATGGCTTGAGTTAGCCCAAGTAACCCATTTGTGTTATCATCCATCTTGAACAATTCCCTGGATGCAATTCACGGAACTGCAGACCAGCTATTAAATCACAAAGCTGCTCTCCAGAGAAATCTAACCCAGACTGAGCTCATAGCAGAAGGAACAGTCAAGTGCTCCACCTATAAGCAGCCAAGCTGGGCATACCTGATTACCTAAATGGAAATCTGTAGGCACATTGGATTTGGCAATAAACTGCACTGTATTTTAATATATTAAGATATACATCACTTATAGGAGGTGGACAGAAGCACTAGCAAAACACAAAAGGGAGTTTCTCATCACTCTTGGTGAAGTTGTAGTAAAATCTTAAGGTAAAGCAAGATGCAATTGCATCAATAAAAGAACACTTAGAAAATTGGCAATTAGGAATTGGCATTTCATACAATTAGACATACAATTAGGGAATGTGACTGACCAGTGGAAGCACCCAAAGAGTTAAGTCATTGCTCCTCACACTCTTCATTAAGAAGATGGAGAGTCAGAAGTGATCAGTACTAACACACTAACAAAACAGACCAACTTACACTTTCTGACAAGGTATTTCATAACACATACATATACATAATCATACATACCTATTTCACCATAGGTGAGATTTTCAGCTTAGACTTTTTTCCATAAGCCTAATATTCTACTTATGAGTAACCCAGCCTCACATGTAAAAAACTGACATATGAGACCTTAACTTGAGGCATAGAGTAAGATCTTAAAATCTGTCCCCTGTATACCCCTAACTCCTGTGTCCCATTTGAGGAGTAAGTATGGGTGCTCCTGTCCTCTGAGATTTCCCTTCCAAGAGCCTCCATTTCATCCCAGTGCAGGCCAGGAGAAACAGTCCCCCCAGCCCTTTCCTACACCAAATGCCTTCTCAATTTCTTCTGAAGTCAATGGGGGTGCAGTACGTCCCACAAATTCTCTAGGAGTTCGCAGTTCCAAGCCCAAAGGCCCAGCCTTGTTAACACTATACAGCTGAACACAGGCATGTCAGGCATCCCCTTGAAGTCTACTTTATTTAATTACCACTGTCAACTGTCTAAAAGGCTGTTAGCTTAGGAAGGTGAGGTGGAGAAGAGAAACAGTGTAGGAGAGAAGGCTTACAAACGATCCCTACACATTAGCTTGGTGATGAATGAGAAAGCAGAAGAGACACTGCAGCTAAGTACCAGCTCCTGAGTCTTTGTACACCATTACATAAGCAGTTACCCACAAATAAAGCACATTCTATGCTCTTCTCCATATCATATTTCACTCTAGCATATGAACAATCTGATATGCCTGTAAGCAGAGTCCAGATTCAAGAATATTAAGAAATTGCACAGCTACGGTAATAATGAGACAAAATTCCTAAGCCAGAGAAAAACCAGCTGTGTGTAATTCATTATGTCACAAGATTGTCATGTTGCTCAACAGAAAAACATGCCTTTTGCCTGGCTTTGATCAGACCCTTCTGCTGCCAGGAATCACACTAAACCTATAGCAAAACATAAATTATGCTTCAGGACATCATACATTTGTCTTGCAAACCTAACCTAACTTTAGACTTCTGAGAATAAAGCAACATGCATTGCAAATGTACATACACTGGCAGTGAAGTGACAAAACTACATACAGTTGGACACTACTGTGCTGGAGAAGAACATCTCTGAAGCACAAGTTCTGGCAGCATCATCAGTAAACATGTCTGTGGGCCACATCCTCACACTGGTACCGATTAGTGTAATCCCTTTACTGCAGGGCAGCTCTACAGAAAAGCTCCAGAGAAGCATGTGGTTTAACAGTCCCTGTGTGCTAAATAAGGACAAGAACCAGTGGAAGGAAAAGGAACAAGGCTGTAGTAGCCAGTTTATCATACTTGAACCAAGGACTTACTCCTTTTACATACTGCCCTTCACAGCTGCCATGCCTTGGAGGCATTTTCTTTGCTCAGAAAAGCTGTGCACCTCCCCCCACGGTGGCTGGCTGTGATCCCATCACTGCTGTATGGAGCATTAAGGTCAATACGCCTGTAACCATAAATACCGAAATACATTTTGCTAATGATCAACCATCGTCACTGAGCAAAGACAAATGTGCGCAACCGCAAACTCCGAGAGCACCACAGCATTGCTTTCAGGGGCAGGAAACGCACTGAAGAACCCGGACTTCTTGTCCCTGGAAATAAGCCATGTCTTAATGGCCTAGTCACCTCTATAAATACAATGAAGTATGGTAAATACATCTGGGATTACATTAGACACTGAGCAATTTGGGAAGATTGGTCGACTGTGGAAATCCAAAATGGTCTCACTAAAGCAGCTTAAGTGGTACTAGCTAAGCAGGTTTGGAGCCCACATTTCAATGCACAATACCATTTTATATGGGAACTCACTTTGCAAAACTGTCTAGGCTCAATGTCCATTACTAGACTACTTGCTGATTTATTGTGTCATAAATTGGAACTTCTCCTAGTGCCCTTTGTGTTGATGATGTCATTTGAAGATCACTTCTCTTTATGGTTGGTACATGCGGTAAAAAGATTTACTGTGTTCATATGTCTCCACCAATGGCTCTTATGCACAACCTTTAAGATCCAAACACAGAGTGGGATTCAGTTCACCTGAACAACATCCCAAAGCCAGGCCAGCTTTGCTATATAAGTTCCTTTTCTATAGAAAACAAAAAAAGAAGAGGCATGTTCAGATCATGAGTCTTTCCACCTAGCTCAACTTGATGAATCCAAGCCAAAATTAAGTTACATACTTATCTGACTATGCTATGTTCAGTATAACAGGACAGTTATACAAAATAAAAATAACTAAAAAAAAGTAGCATGCCATATCAAACACGCAAGCCAGTTTCACTCCATGCTAGAGAGACCTCTGCCCTGTAAGCAACATAATTTAGAAGGGGAAAGGGGACTGGTAAGCATATTAAGATGGCACATGTCCACCTTATGTAAATGTTTATAACTGGTTTAATCCAATTTTTATGATTATTAATGAGATTCTCCCTTCAAGCTTCACTTACTCTGGAGACACAATGAAACAGAAATAAGTGAAAAGACCTGAATTTGAGGCATTTAGGAGATGAAATCACATCACAGTTCTCAGGTTTGTGCAGGTGCAAGCCCTATAACAAGCAGAGAGAAGCAGAGGAGGTGGATCAATCCCAGTCCTTCTCTGACTCCACATGTGCACTACTCCTGCCTCGCTGAGTTTTGGGGTAGAAGTGCCCCAGGAAGGGTTTACCCTTTTGACACAGCAACAGAGTTCATCACAGGCATGATGAAAATCAAGCCACCATGTTCCACAACCGCCACTGAGCTCAGCTTCAGTTGCAGTAGAACTTCTCTGCCTTCACACCGCTGTGGTTTTCCAGCCCTGCTCTTGGCACAGTGGAGGTAAGTCCAGCTGGGCCTGGCCAGGGAAGGCAGGGGGCAGCTGTACACACACCACTGCCTCACATCACCCAAAATGCTGCCCTGGCTGCAGTACTGGTGGGAAGGGGAAGGATATACAGTAGCTTTTACAGCATTTCCTCCAAACTGCAATTCCTCCCTTGGAGGATCCAGTAGAGGTCTTGGCATTAACTGGATTTGAGGGAGCAGAAACCTGTGCCATGGCAGAACCTAAGGCACCCCAAATGTGTGCTCAGGAAGCCACTTTAAAGATAGCAGAGGAACAGAGCAGTTGTGTCAGTGCAGAACACCAGGCAGTGAAAGAAGCACCCACCTCCTCCCAATGGGTGGTCCCACCACAGGCAATGGAGCTTTATCCTTGGCTGGCACTGGCTGCTCCATACAGCCCCTCCAGTTATTTATCAGCCTTTCTCTGCCTTTCAGGAATATTTACATCTCCCATTTCATGGGAGGAACATGCAATTTGGGCAACACAGCAAGTGGAGATAGCCACATTTCTGAGTGCTGGGGTATTTCTCTTCCCAAGTATCTGGTGGAACACCAGCAGGAACACCAGTAGGAACACCAGTCAGCATCTCAGCCCCTGCAAGTACAGTCCCAGCCTCTGCATCCACAGCAAAAATTAAAATTGCACAACCATACCCACCACTTTAAGATCCTGTAGCAAAATTAGTAAAACATGCAGCTACTCTATGTCATTTTTATTGTATATAAAAAGAACCCATTACATTTATTTGTTACTTTTTGTTGCTGTCACGAATGCCTAAATAATCCTTCAGTGTTTAGAAACAAGCCACTGGGGACCAATGAGATACATTTATTGTAATTACATGATTCTTCTAATTAATTTTTGTCAGGAAATTTCAAAGTAAAAATCTCCAGCTAAATGGGTCCCCCTCCTCTTCCCTCCAGCCAACAGACACGTTTCTGAGCCTTGTTTAAAAAGCTCGTTTCCTTTTTGCCTAGTTGAAATAAAGTGGAATTGTAATTGAGAGTGGGCAGAAAGGAGAGAACATTGTCATTAGACCACATTGTTTAAATCAACCTGTAACAAGCATTTCATTTTGTTTGGGTCATTAACTACATTTGAGTGAAAAATGTAGTTTGCCTGGCAAATTGGTTGGTGTCCAAATGCCTCCAACAGGAGACTTGTCTGGGTGAAACCCAAAGACCGCAACACAGACACACAAATTTTGCAGGTGGGAAACTTAACCCAGAAGGAAACAAGCATCAAAAAAAGTGGATGCTTATCAAAGATATATACAGAATTTGATATTTACTGATCTATGAGATTGTACAGCCTGAGGCAGTATTCTCATAATTTATTCTATTCTCTCCTGTAACACAGATCACTGAATGTCATAAAGTAATTCAGATAAGATGGCCTGTAATTAGGGATTAATGTTATCAACTGCTGGACACACAGCCACTTGTGACACATGATACCCAAGTGATTTTACTAAAACAGTTTACCATATCCCTGGATAAGCCTCTAACAAAACCATTTGAACAGTCGACCTCCCTTTTCCAAGCCACACCAGGATTTGGGAATAGTTCACTTACTTTCTCTCTTGCTGCAGGTGAAGCTGACATGATGTGTCCCTGACAATTGTGCTGGCTGTTCTTTATCACCTGAGATGCTCCAAGTGCATATGGACAGACCACTGGATCATTTGCTCCAGCAGTGAATTCAAACAGACCAGTCCAGGCTTGCCCAGTTCTTCTTTTCCCTGTCTTTCAGAGGCACATTCTACCTGCATCTTTTCTAGAACCTCCCCAGACTTCCTCATATTCTTGAGGGTAACTGCTAATAGGCCCTGAAAACTGCTCTAGCCTCTTCTCAAAATGCTCCAAGAGCTGGGAACATCCAGGTTGCGCCAGTGGCCTAAGAGTTGCAGAAATCTGGAAATCTATAGTGTCTGCTGCTGCTTCAGAGAGCAAAGGGGAGATGTTTTCTCCCCAGGGCTCTGGGCAAGCTCAGGGGCCCAGCACTACTGGTCTTTCTTGCTGTCCCATTGACCTTTTATGTCAATCCTAAAGCACATTGCCTTTGGTTTGAATCACGAGCTTTCCTTTCACAACCGTCACCTGCATCACTTTTCATCTTTTCCCATTCTGCCACCATATCCCCGTTTCTTCAAATCCGTTCCTGCCCAGCCAGCTGTGAAGCTGCATGGTATCACATCCTGCTGTGTCTCCCTTTCCAAATCCTACCTTGCACAACCAGGGATAGGATCTAATCTGCCAGATGCTCAGCAGAAGCCTCATTCACTCCCATCTCTTTGGTGATCCATAGCTGACTGTTTCTGACAGACTGCCTGTTCCCAACAACCTGCAGCAGGATCCAGGATCCCTGCAGCAGACATACTACGACCTCAGTCTGAGCATCAGCCTCTCTCCCATGGCCAAGTCCTCCCTGAACAAGTTGTACACTCTTCTATCAGCACTGCAGCCATAGCCATTTTCTACCAAGCCTCTGCTATGGCATTTAAATTATAACATTGATTACAAATGAGACATGAAGTTCCTCCCTTTTATTCCTTGTGCTGACATACCTTAAACATTTGACTGACTGTCCCATTAATTTTTTCCTTGTGACAATTATGCCTCAACCTCTCCCAGTTCTCACTCCTGCCAGTGGTTTGATGCACCACTATTCTCTGTCAACCCTATTTTAAAGCCTTCCTTGGCAGCAGCAAATCTCTTCTAATTGTCCATTTCCTGCACGTGTGGTTGCACTGGGACAACACATAATACAGGGACAGTGTCTAGCATTGTATTTGGTCCCTGCTGCTCCTGCCTCTTGTCCCTTGCTGCATATCATCTTAACTGCAGTGATGCTTATGTGAAACAACCCCAAACCATTCTCTCCTATCCTCCTGTTTATGGAAAAGCACTGATTAACCAGAAGTATTTTTATTTAAACCTAAAAGCAATTTATATTATATATATAAAAAAAAGGTCAGGTAGATACTCCATTTATCACTATTACAAAGGGCTGTAACACAGTGATGAAAAGAAAGAGAAATTAATTACAAGTCAGAGGCTGCAATAACTCTCTCTGTAATTGTGACGAAAAATTTAAATTAACGTTTCTGTCAGTAAGAGAAGTTTGATTAATTTTACAATAGTGGAGATGCTATCACCTTAATATTGGTGGGTAAGGAAATTTTACTATTTGCAATTTAGATGTAGATCATTTCTTTAAGACTCAAAAAGTGCCTGCGAGGCACCTTCACACTTTATTAACAGCTCAATCAGTGCCACGCTAGAAATAATTAGCCAAGAAACCATGTAGTAAATATATCTAGACTAGCAAACCTGCAGAATAAGAACTACATCATAAAATCCAGACCACTCCAAGAGAAACAGCATCTATCCAGATCTCTAAAGCGACTGCTGCTGCCCAGCTGCCTGGTATGGCACTCTGCCTTCAGGGAAACAACACAAATACCAGGTTTTCTGACAGCTTTGTTTTGTTTTCTGGTTTTAAGCCTCTGCTCGACTGCAAAGCTGGAGGGCAGAGGGGGAAGATCCAAGCAGTGCTCACTGACATCGCACCCCTCCATGGCAGCAGCCGCATTCCCTGGGTGCTGGATGAGGTGCTGGATTCCCTCTGGGGCTGCTGAGTGCAAGAGGTGGGATGGTGAAGGGCTGCTGAGGACACTGCTGCTGACAGATGGTGAATGAAATGCAACAGGAAAGAAACTGAGGCAGGCAGGGGTTGCCATGGGGTAGGACCGAGGACTCACTCAATCTGCAGCAGCCACACCTGAGTACAGTGTGCAGCAGCCAGGCAGGGCCTCCTGCTCATGGACACTGGCATTACCTTGTTGGATTTGTTTTGTTTTCCCCAACTTTCAATCCTCACAAGACCCTTACCAAAGTCAGGCTCTCAGAGAGCCCCATAGACAGACCCTGGCCAGCCCCTGCTCTCTCTGCAACTTTAGAGTCTCCTGCCCCTTAGGACAGTACAGAGCCCCACACATGACAGGCTAGGACCCAGGCAGCCCCTCCACTCTAGCTGGGAGCACTGGCACCCTTTAATCTCAAGCCTGGCAGCTTCGTGCACTGCAGAGTGTGGCATCAGAGCAGGGAAGGGCAGCACTGCCTTGGCATCCCCTCCAAGACCACTTGTGGCAACAGCACACACGTCCCTGTGCCCCCAGGATGTTTATCATTAGTGTCTGAACTGTGCCTGGAAGGGGACAATTCACGTATTTCTGTCCCCTGAAGACCTTCCCCACCCCAGCCCACACAGGAGCAGGGGATGACACAGTGAGGGAGCGCAGCAGCCCCTCAGGCTCCATGAGCAACACCAGCCTTTGCTACCAGAACAAGACATGCAAAAGCCCAAGGATATGATGCAGGAAAGTAAGGATCAGACCAAAGCCCTGGGAAGCTTTCCCAGTTCTTCTCTGCACTATTTAACAAGGGCCATTAATTTCTTCCTTTCATAAACACTGTGAACTATGAAAATCTGAGAAATAAATCTGAGAAATAAAATGAGCCTAATGAAAATGTATTGGTTCTAAGGCAATCAATGCCATTCAGCTTACAGAGGAAAGGAAGCACAGCTCCCCATCTGTACTCTGCTCCCTGTAGTCAACAAGGCTGACTGTTTCCAGCATGGATCAATGAACCATTCGTTAGGGGAAGAAAACCCGTACGAACAGCATTCATCTCTCTCCAAGATCAAACAAAACTGCACAGGAACTTTCAAGACTGGTCTCGAAGCTGCAAGTCTAGGGAAAGTTGGAGCACTTCAAGTTGCTTCGCACATAATGGTGTCCTGTAAACCATAATGGTTGCTGCACCCAGAGACTGAGCAGGGGGAAGCTGACACTGTGCACGTCAAGGTTGGATCACCTCTTCCATAGCTCAGAGGTAGCACTGCACTGTGGGTGCAGGGGCTCGTGAAAGTACTGGGGTGAGTAGAGGGGAAGGAGCTTTCTAATGCAGTTGGCTTGTAAGTATAATTAAGCAGTTGATACGAATTTCTCACTAAACTTCTTTAGCTAGAGCGAAGATAAAAGGCTGGGGCAGGGGGGAAGGAGAAAAAAAAAGGAAAGGAAGGATGGAAGGCAGGAAGGCAGGCAACAGTGGTGTGATATAACCAAAGTAATGCACTCATCATTCAAAGAACCTAAAAAATAGGGCTTTTCCCTAAAAAGCTGAATTCCTTATAAGGAATGCTATGAAGAAATGTTTACTCCAGTAGCAAAGACATCCCCAGAAGCAGGCAGGAGCTGGCACTGCCACAGTCTGCTGCGGAGAGCTCTGCAGCTCCAAAGTATTTGTGCTGGAGGGAGAGACGGAGGTAACTGTTCTGTCAAGTGCCAGCCCCTTTCTCAGACACATCACCACAGCATCTGACAAACAGCACCTCCAGGATGGTTCTCAGAGCTGTCACTGGTAGTGCACAGTGTAATTCACCATGACATTAACCGGCATGGGGCAGCACAAGGTCCCCAAACCACACTCATTTAAGTAACTGGAAAGCCAAAGAAAGCACAGGCTGGCCAAGGAGGTGAACTTCAGCAGGCATGTAAGGCAAATGTTTATAGCACATGGCTAAGGAAAAGCCACATTCCTTTCTCCCATTGAACTGACACAAAATTTAATGGGAGATCTTTATAAGGGCGGGGTATGGAAAGAGGCACTAAAGGCTGTTTCCAATGACATTTGAAAGTAGGCAACAATAAAAAGAGGGAATTATAAAATACAGATATCAGATTGGCTGCAAAACTTAAAAGTGGAATTTCCTCATGTTGTGAACATGGTCACAAGCCATGGAGAAACAACTGCCTTATGAAAAACAGATGGAAAAGCAAGATATGGAGAGCAGAGTGAGTGTAAGAGCATAATCCCACTGTAACAGGGTATACTGCAGTCTGAGCTACAGCTGCACCATCCCAGAAAGGCCAGTTACAAAAACACAGCATGGTCCTACCGACTCCAGCCACCCAAAGCATTTACCTGCACTATGGGGTCAGTACCACAAGGAAACTAAACCCAGAGTTTTCCTCAAATTGCTCCATTGCCTTTATGGCCAAGCTGTCTCTTGGGAGCAGGCAGTGCCAATAGCTTCCAAAGAGAAAGAGCTCCTGACTGGGCAATGACAATCCTGCTGTCAAGACATTTTGGTAGGGCCTTTCATTTGCACTAAAATCTGAAAACAATTCACTTTAGTGCTTTGGTAACACACAGCAGAAGGGGACAGTCCCTGGGGACACCATCCCCTTCCCACCTCTGCTCGAGTCAATGCCTTTTCTCTATAGCTGGGCACTGCCAGAGTACAACATACACATGAACTAGTGGCCCTCCAGTAAGTATTTGACAGATTAAACATCGCCTTGAGCTTTATTTCTTCAGCAGAGCTATGAAAAAATAACTTCCACTGTAAATTGCGTTTTGTGATAGCTTGCAGAGTGACTGCCTGCCCATTGAGACTGCTTTGGAGTGTGTCTGTGCTTGGCAAGTGATCCCTCTCACCCATCAGGTCTAGCTCCTGCTCCCATGGCACTGCAAAAATAGGAACTGAGAACTAGTGCTCCAGCTGCCCTGCAGAGATGACCATCGTGAGAACAGGGCAGGCTCCAGAGGGATGCCAAGGACAGAAAGTTTCTGTGATACAGAGGCTGGTTTTGATGTTTTGAAATTAAATATTACAACACAATTGGAGTTTGTCCCAGAGGCCTGATGGAATCATCCCCAAGGAGAGAGACTAACAGAGGGCACAGATGCTGTACATCCACAGAAAAAAAAAGTTGGAGAAATATTATGATTCCTGTTTTGAGAGCTAAAGACACATTAAGAACTTCATGAATCACCCAGAAGAGCTACACAATTGTATGACCTGGCAAGATATGAGGCTTTCCAAGAAACTTACTATCTCTGGACAAACAGATGTCACAAAGTACCCAGCTCCTCAATTACATGTTTTCTTCTTCCTCATCTCCAAGAAGTAGTTGCTGAGCTCAGGCAGCAGCCACAGAGAATCAATTGAACCTGTTTATTGAGAAAATACTGTCAAAGAAACCACTGATTCCTTATCATAAAGGATGCACTTGGGAACTATGCACCATCTGTGAATTAGATCCAAAAGCTCTCTAAAACTTCATGTCTTTGAATCGTAAAGCTTTTAAGAGGAACAAAAAAAAAAAAAGAAAAAAGAAGTAGTTAAAAAAAAAAGGAAATTCAGGTCCAATAACATTGCTAGCAGCAGTTTACCTTTGACTACTGAAGGGAAAAAAAAGAAAATCATTAAATGTATCTCTCGCAGAATCCATTTTACAAGCTAATGTCACTTTGCTTTGCTTTCA